CCAGTGGAACAGATTAGAAGATGCAGAAACAACTCCAGACACACTCAGCCACCTCATCTTCGACAAAGGAGCCGAACACCCTCACTGGAGGAAAGATAGTCTTTTTAATAAGTGGTTCTGGAAAAATTGGGTTTCAACTTGCCCAAGATTAAAACTAGACCTATATCTCTCACCATGAACTAAACTAAAATCAAAATGGATTAAAGATCTAAATATTAAAACAGAAATGCTGAACTGGCTGGAACAGAGGTTAGGTAGAACTCTCTTGAAGACATTGGTGTAGGAAAAGATTTTATGAATAAAACCTCAGTTGCCCATGAACTGGCACAATCAACAAGCAGGATCTCTTCTTATTACAAAGCTTCTGCACAGCAAGAGAAACCAGCAAAGTGTGAAGAGACAACCCACAATATGGGAAAAAATTTTCACCTGCTGTTCCTCAGACAAAGGTCTACTCCCTAGAATCTATAAAGAACTTAAAAACATCAGACCTCCCAAATTTAAAGACCCAATGCAAAAATGAGCATCTGAAATGAACAGATATTTCTCAGACAAAGAAGTAGAAATACCAAATAAACATATGAAAAAAATGTTCCACATCACTCGTCATTTGAAAGATGCAAATGAAAACAATGCTGAGATTCTACCTCACCCCAGAAAGAATGGCTGCTATCATGAAATCAACCTATAACAAATACTAGTGGGGCTGTGGGGAAAGCGGAGCCATGCTCCATTGCTGGTTGGAGTGTAGACTGGTGCAACCACTGTGGGAATCAGTATGGAGATACCTCAAAGAACTAGGACTGGAAGTCCCATTTGCCCCAGCTATTCCCCTTGCTGGGTATCTTCCCCAAAGAATTAAAAGAATCACATTACAATGATATATGTGCACCCATGTTTATAGCAGCACAGTTTGTAATGGCTATAACTTGGAAGCAGCCCAAATGCCCATCACCTGGAGACTGGATAAAGAAACTGTGTTCTTTTTATATATAAAATGGAGTATTACTCAGCCATAAAGAATGAGAAACTAGAGACATTTATAGCTCAGTGGATGCACATTGAGGCGATACTCTTAAGTGAAATAAATGGGACACAGATATGTAAATACCAAATAGTTTCTCTAGTATGAGAAACAGAAAGTGTAAATAAGGACTAAAACCTGTAATAGATAACGTGAAATAGGAAGAAAAGGGGCAAAGGGGAAAGGGAAGTGGGAGGGGTAGGGGAAAGGAAAGAAGGGAATGAAATTAATATGATAAAATGAAAACAAAGTCTTTGTAAATAGGGAGGGATGGAGGGGTTGAAGGGAAGGCAGGAGAAGGGGGAACAAATTAGAACCAAGAGAGACTATGTAAAGGTGCAAATTTCCAATGATGAATGTCATTATATTGTATACCTATAAGCCCACCTAATAAATCCCCTTGCATATGAAAAAAATTATTTTCTAAGAAATTTATATAAACAATGTGGTTGGTTAATATGTGTACACACAGGCCTGTTTGCTCACTAAGATATTTTACATTCAATGAAATATTACAAAATAGAAGCCACCGGTGTAGTTTGACTATTCTTTTTTAACATCTAACAAATTCATATGTTTTGGACAATTATAGAAATATCAAAATCGGATCAAATTTTATAGCTCAGAAAGTTAAATGATGAAAACTTGAAGACTTTAAAGCCAAATGAAACTGTTTATTCTTCAACTTCATTTAGCTAAAGAAAATATTTCCTGTTATTTCCAGAAGCACCTTTCCTCCCTACCTTGTTCAGCACATCTCAGATCCTTATCCAGCTCCAACCACAGGTTTACTGTGGCAGGGAGACTATAATGCAAGCTCCAGGGAACCCTGCCTCCTGGATTCACCCTCTTGGGCAGTCCCCTCTGCTTGAGTGGGGAGCTGAGTCTCACTTCTAACCAGAAAGACTGTACCCAAGGAGTGAGGATGTCACTGTTTCCATTCCCTTGCAGGACCCACTCACCATACTGACTATGGTGAGGCGAGGCACCATGTTGGAGAGCTCCCTTGGGAAAGAGCTGGAGGCTGAATGATCTACATGGAATGGCCAGGTAGAAACTAAGTCCCTCAGTCCACCAACCCCGAAGAAACCAAATCCTGGCAGCTGATCACCATTTAATTCAGTCTGGAAGTGATTACTTGTACATTTGAACTTTCAGATAAGATGCCAGCCCTGGCCAGCATCTTGATTACAGCCTTTCTAGAGAACTCACAGCAGCTTATTGTATTCCAGTTCCTGATGCACCGACTGTGACATAATAAATGTGTGTTGTGTAAGCTGCTTAACTTGCAGTCATTTATTATATAGTAATAGATATCAAACACTCAGACACACACTATTTACTTTTCACCGAACGTAATCAAAAGGATAAGCCCATTTCAAACGGCTTTTGCAGTAACCTAGTTGTTTTCCTTTTTTGGTCTATGACGAACCTTTGTAGAATGAAGACTTTCTACAACCACTTCAGAAATAAGTGACAAGAATTTTATAAGTCAAGGAGCTATCTACTGAATAAATGGAAGAGTGGTTTTATTGCTGCCTGAGTGCGAAGCTTTATTATTTATGTATTTTTTTTTTAGTCATTTGTAGTATTCAGATGGATCGAATAAACATATAAATTTATCTTGAAAAGTTCAACTGCTTATTTTAAAACATTTTTAAAAGCAAAAGTAAGTTTATTGCTTATGTAGCCTATCTTGAAAAGCTTGAAGATAATACAAGAGATTTTCCTATTAATTATTTATAACAATCATTACTCATTATATCCTTTAATCTGGAAGGGAAAACAGCAAACTTGACACTCATCATAAACAGCTGTCTTTGTTCACTTGGGATTTTATAAGAATATACATCAGGGATCTTGAAGGTTGACTTGTCCTATATGAATATGTCTTATAACTGTAATTTTGATATCAAAAAAGGTTGTAGTAACTTCTCGTCTAATGGTATCGTACAAATCATATTTTCTGAAATGACCAATTTCTCCCCCCCACAAAAAAAAAATCCACAATGCTTGTTAATCAACAACTTTTGAGGCATCTCATTTTGTACCAATTATCTCCAGGTCTTATCAATGTCTCTTTGGTACCCAGCATACATATCATTTCGACTTTCAGTTCTCAAGTCTGATAAAACTAATAAACCTACACTGCCAGAGGTGGCACATTAAGCTGGTAAAATGGTTTTCATCTTAATTGGATATGAGCACTGTTATCGCTAATAACCCCAGGATACTTCTAATTGGAGTCTCTCTCTCTCTTTTTAAAAATTTTTGAAACACTAATCTCATTGACCAGCCTTAATTCCTCCTTCTCCCACTCCCCCAACCCAAACCTTGAAATGAAATATAGAAATTTTCTAATTTCAGGGTCTTATTGTATCATTATTTCCTTACACTAAGCCAAAAAAAAGATAAATGGTCTTGTGAAAATTCATGCTTCCTTTTTCAGTTTGCAGAAAAAAAGAAATTGTACTGAAGAATGTAGTATTGGAACTGCAGTCATGTCTCCAATGTAGCTTAGTTCCAGGTTCATCTAAGGATGCTAAATTAATGTTGTTATTTTATAAATGCAATGATCTTTTTTGTTGAGTTATTTAATGTAATTTTGGTTCAGGTGATATATCAGAACCTTTCAAAAGTTATCAGATTCATAAACACTAGATTTTTATTTTATTAATATTGGTGAATGTATATGAAAATTATAGAAATCTGTTTGTTTACATTTTTGTTACAACGTGAAAAGAGGTGACAGGCTTTTGTCCACAGATAGCTGTAATTGTGTTGCTGGTAACTACACCCTGGCAAACACATAAGAAGATTTAAAGTGGAATCAGCTACTGTACACTATCAATTTTAAATGAAATTTTGGCATGAAAAACTAATTCTGATTTTTTGTAATCCTATCTTTTAGACTCAGGAGGTCATACCTGGCACCAAAAGAATAAGTTAATAAGTAAAAATCTTAGATAAAATAAAGAAAGAGCAGGAAGAAAAATCTGTCTCATTCTACAATCCACCAATTTTTCCTGAGTAAGTATAAAAACTAAAAACTGCATATATTTTAATCATTAAACATATCACTGAGCTATTCCCTGGCAGAAATAATTCATTTTTAATATATATAATCTTTTTTCTGAAGCCATATATACTTTCATCAGCTGAGTATGGGCTTTTATAATTATTATCCCTATTCCCATACAATTAAAAGCCTTTATGTAGATATATAATTATCGATAGGCAAAAGAAACACTATACCGTTTCTGCAATCCATAAAATGGCAAGTGGAAAAACTACTCATTAATTTATATTTACACTATGGCAATTAAATTAGCAATACCTGGAGCACAGATGAAGAGAGCAAGGAGCCTTTACAGAAAGAGGCCTTTGCCCTGTTCAAGCTGTCATGATATCATACAGGCTTTTTGTGATAACTAAGAAATTTGTATATTGTTGTGACTAAAATATAGCTAAACTTTCAGTTTTGTCTAGTGTGTACATGTATGTTTAATACAATTATCTGTCTCTCTGTTGCCACATGTACATACTTACTTCACAGTGAAGCACACATATACATGTGTGAATATACAGGTTTTATACTGAGAAAAACATATATATATTCTATAAAATGTGTGATATATACATGTATCCACACATGCACATACAGTGGTGAAAATGATAATTTTATGGCTTGCATGAATTTTAGCTCTTTTGTGACTCATTCTTGGTTTCCCTCAGTTTGAAAGACACAAATCACAACATAATATATATGTTATGCATGTGCTACTGTAATGAAGTATCATATAAATACACACAGAAATTATAGTCATGAAAAGAACGGAACAAACCTAATATAACAGCTGTTTAACTTCTCTTTCTGCTTCCCTCGCAGGATTATTTGTCAGCTCTAAGGTCACTGACAGGCAGTACATGGACTGAGTCATTGGTACCTGCTTCACAGATGTGGTGGGCAAAGATATCCTGTGGTGAGGAAGGGTGAGGGACACAGAAAGCGTCCAGACACTGGGAATAAGTCTATTAGTACTGCAAGGTTCTACCATTTCTTAAGCTTCAGTGACTTTCAGCTTTATTTCTTTCCCATCACCCATACACCAAAGTTTTATTCCTAAGATATAGGAGACTGTTTTCCCTTACTTTTCCTTTTCCCCACCACCTTAATGTCTTGTCTTTCATTTCCACCTTTTCTTGAACTTAGAGTTTGTCCTGCCCTGCCTTACCTTGTCCTGTCCTTCCTTTCCCATCCCTTCCATTCCCTCCCCTTCCCCTCCTGCCCCCTCCTCTGTTCTCCTTTCCTCTCATTTCTTTCTTTCTCTCTCTACTTCCTTCCCCTTCCCTCCTTCTCTGTCTTTCTCTCTGTGTATCTGTCTCTCTATGTCTGTCTCTCTATGTCTGTCTGTCTGTCTGTCTGTCTGTCTCTCTCTCTCTCTCTCTCGCACATCAACTCTTTTTAAAATTTTTGGACAGGGTCTAAATAAGTCTCTAGATTTCCAGGCCTAAGTTAGAATTTCTGATCTTCCTCCCTCAGCCTTCCAGAGTGCTGGGATTACTGGTATGTATCACCATGCCTGGCTGAATTTACTTTTTCAATGTCATAAAAGGCAGTATATTCAGGATCTAGGCTCCAAGTTCAAGGCCAGGAAAAATTAAGGAATTTTCCCAAGGTTATGCACATGGGGATGAGTGGAATAAGAATAAGAGTGGGGCTCGTGTAGTGGTGGCATGCAAATGAATCCCCAGTTCTAGGACAGACATTGTCCTGGGCTGTGAGGAAATCCTAGTGAATAAGATGGGAAAGTTCTTAGAGAATAAAAAGTCATATTCTAAAGGCAAATGATATGAAATAAGCATATAATAAATAAATTAATAGCAGAGGGGGAAAAAGCATGGGATGGGGACACAGACAGTGCTATATGGAGATTAATCAGTTAGCTTTCTGTCACTATAACAAAATATCTGAGAGAATTAACTTACAAAGAGAAAAGGTTTTACAAGTCCCAGCCCTGACAAGACTGACCCACTGCTTTGACTTGAAGAGTTGTAGAAAATAACAACATGCACAAGATTTTTATACTTAGGTGTTTGGATTTCCTCTTGTTTCCTCTTTGCCTCCATCTGAAGAGCATTGGAGTGGGCTGATGACATGGAGGCTGAGAGACAGCGCCTCCATTGCATGATTTAACCATGCTTCTTCCAGAGCAAGGGGGTGCATTGCCTCATGACTTTCTGGGTGGGTTGGATTTGTTTTTTGGCCTTCATCATTTACACTGGTCATTGACACTACCAGACCTTTCTACCTAACTGCACACTTAAAATGTGGTCACGCTTCTGTGACTCCCTTTGCACCATGCCCTGGCTGCCCGAGTACCTTAAGATCTCCATTCCAGGCAGGCCTGGGCTAAGCTCTTGAAAAGTCTGGAACTAGCCACCACTCCTGCACTTACCTTTAGCAGTAACACACGTTTCTCCTTTTAATGTTCATGTGCGTTCCATATTTCCAGATTGAAAACTCATCTGGTTAAACATCCTCAGACCATATTATGATGTTTACTGCAAGAGTAATATGAATTCTCAAGAGGTTCTTTAAATAACTCTGGCTAGGTAAATAAATAAATGATACCAGTTGTCATTTACTGCACACCTACCATGTCCCAGGAACACTTTTAAACTACTGACATGTATGCATTTAGTGCTCACCAAACCCTCTAGTGTAGCTGTCCTGGTGAGGTGAATTTGAGAGCATTTGAACACCTGAACAGTAGCCGTGCCCCAGTCTGCAGCTTCTAGGTAAAAAGGAAGGGCCTGGCTTGGGAGATAATCTATAATTTTTATATATGAAAATTCAAGATTTTAACAGTGTGGGGTATATGTGTGTATATTTTATATACTTATTTTATGGACACATGTTAGACTATGTTATAACTACATCATACACTGTGAGAACTGAACAAATGTGCTTCCTGGGCAGCGTACCACCTCAGGCCCAGCAAAGAGCCTCTAAGTCAACAGTCTACTCTGGGATGGTGAGAAAAGCACAGCATTGGAGCAGCTGTATAACAGGGTGGTTACCTCTTCATTTCATGGACCCTTGAGATCCTGAGTTTAGATAGAAGTTAGTGGCAAACTGTCAGCTAGATCACACTGTTGTGGGCATTGGAAGTGTATTCCTAGAGTTCGTTGCAAATTAGGGGCTTGGTCCATGCCATTAATTTCTTCTTTTTTTTTTTTTTTTTTGTACCAGGGATCGAACTCGGGTCCTTGTGCTTGTGCAGCAGGTGGCAAAACCACTGAGCTAAATCCCCGGCCCATCATTAATTTATTCTTTGGGAGGAAGCTCTGGGTATGGAAACAAGGTCCTGGTACATCCTAGGTGAATGCTCCACCACTGAAGCATACCCACATCCCTCAGTCAGCTGAACAGGGCGCTGAGCCCACTCTCAGGGAAATGGGGTCCACAAGATTCTCTTCTTACTCTTACCCTCCACGGGAGCACCTGACCCAGCCCAAGGACTCATTTTTTATGTGATATTTGCAAGCTTCTCTATCTATACCTTTATTCCTCCTGGGTAAAAAGTTTGATAGGAATGTAAGTGGGTATCCTTGAAAGAATATTTCTATTTTGACAGGGACCAGTGACTTTGAGTAGCTTGAGAGAATACTCACGTGAGCCTGAGAATGCCATGAGAGATTGGGCATAGACACATTCCCTTTTACCCACCATGACTCCACAGCCTCCCTAGCTGTTTGTCTCTCTCTTCTACTGAGGCTTCAGGTAGTATTCTTTTACAAAAAAGGGGCTCTGTGGCAATGATGAAGGTATCTGGAAAAGTTAAAACCTTCCAGCCAAGTTCTAAGCATCAATCATTTTGTTATCAATTTTCTGCAAAAAGTTGTGGATTTTTTTCCCCTGCTCATAAATGCCTCCTAGAAAAATAAGAGTTGCAGTAGGCACTTTCTTTTCCCCAGGCACAGAACTATCAAACTTCTCAGCTGGAATTCAGAGACAGTAAGCAAACTCCCTAAATACTAACATGGCATACGAGCTGTTTTCCTGGCAGGATGGTTTTGTGCCCATCAACTTGGGAGTGCTATGGCAACTCAGTGGGGCCTTGCTGAATAGCAGTGGCACTGGGACTCTTCACTAAGGTCCTTCTGGTGCCAAGCAGTCCCCAAGTCAGAGCATGTGCTGATTTCAACATTTGTTGTCACTGTAGATAAAGAACAATCAGCAAAGATCCTGATCCCATGACCCATTTCTCAATTCTTCTGGTTTCTGGGAATCAGCATACTGATTATGTAGACTTGGCTGACTAGGAGAGGCTTGGGATTCCCCTACTGGCTTATGTCCTATTTTGCAAAATGAACAACTGTTTTCTTTTTCTTCCTCATTTGCAAGGTAGGGAAAATACTTCCTCTAGCCCTGTAGCAAATCTCCTTACTTTGCAATTGCATCTTGGTGTTCTGCTAGGTTGGTTAGGTGAATAGGGGTCTGGTGTCACAAGGCTAAAGAGAAGTGAGGGCCTGGATAGTTCATTTTTTTCTTCCTTAGCCTTTCCTTTTTCTTATTCCCTCTTCTACCTTTCATTTATGTTTCAGGTTATTTAATGGAAAATTGAAAGCAATATTTTAAGTAAAATGCCTGCGTTCTCTTAATGGGCATGGCTGTGGCCAACAGACCTATAGGTCGAATGGCTATGACACCAAGCAGTGGGCACATACACGTGCGTCGGCCAGTGTGCCCAAATCAAGTACTGTATGTGTGTGGAACCACATGCTCTTCTAGAGCTTTTCAGAGCCGGGTGTATGCTGGGCTGCAAGTGTTTTTCACTTCTTTTTAGTTTTTAAATGAAGACCCTTTTTAGTTATCTACCTCGGATACTCCATGAAATGGAAGAATACCTCACTGCATTTACCAACTCCATTGTGTGGCTTAATTGATGGTCAGTGTGGGCCTTCTTTGGGTTTTCAGAATGTGGGAGTTAATCATAGTGCTTCCGTTGCTCCCTTTGGCAATTCTGAGGAGCTACGAGGATCCTGATTTGTTCGCTGCAGTTTTAAATGACAGTGTGTGGGAAACAAATCAAGGAGTTCTGAGTCTGGTGGAGCTGCAGCTAGGGGCCTGTTCGTACAACCTCCATGTCCTCATCTGTAAAGTGAAGGACAAGAAGCATCTGCAGTCCAAGGCCCCTTCTGGACTCCTGGTTTGGTATGTGCTGGGCCTGATCCCCTGGGGTGAGTGGGAGTCTGTGTCTGTCTTGTGATCTTGGCTAGAATTTGTGAGGTTCTTCCCCCATCATCCGCATTGTGTATGGACTGGAAGAGCCCTGGAAACCCCAAAGCTGATCCCAGAGGCCCTTAGGGAGAGCTCCAGTCCTGGAAATAAGTTCTGTTTGGCAAAATAAGTTCATCTTCTCTTAAACTGTGTAGGCTTTCTAGGTTCTGCCAAATGGAGAACCAGTGAGAAGTGTTCATGAATAGAAACTCACATTTCTGCTCAGTAGAGCTCCTAATGATTAAATGCCTTTTCAAATAGGTACATCAAAGGCAAACAAATCAGGGTGTGGGACTCTGTTGTGGGTCTATGAGATCTGTTATCATGAGTTAAGTATTTTTTAAAACGTGGTATTGAGTCCAAGAGTCTACTCGATTATTATGAAACTAAAAACACATTACATTCCAAAGATATTTTGGAAACAATAGATTTTGATATTCACCGGTGGCTTTTATCATTTCAACAAACTTGTATTTAGGGAGCAGGTGGTGTCTGTGAGCCTAGACCATGGAACTGGTGTTTAGTGGTGAAGCCGATAATTCTCCCACTTGCTTAAAAGATTGAGCCGAGACAAGAGATTTTTACCTGACTGTGTCTTCTGCCAGAAGCCAGAGAAATGCACAATCTTGGAACGCTGAGACGTGGATACCGCATGTCTAATGGATGGAATCTTTTTTTGTCTGGGGTAGAAATATACAACTATTGACTGTGTTACGCATATGGAGTAAAACTGATTGCAGGTGGTAAGTTTGTGTGTACTTTAAGAAAAACATTGATTACTTATACATATCCTGGTAAATGTAACTCAGTTCAAATCCAATATAAAAATGCTTTCAAAAGGGAACAGTAAAATTTTAACTGGATCCCTTCAATGTATGAAGGGATCCCAGCAATACCCATGGTATGAATTTAATGCTCTTTTTCAAAACTCTAAGCTCTGTGATTCTGCATAGACCAAATTAAGAGAAGGTTAAATTCGATATGCATGAGTGGTGTTAGT